GGGCAGTAGGTACAAAGGGTCTGAGTCAGGAGCACAATTGTGACAACAATGGCCAGTGTGGCCGGAGGGAGATGTTTATGAGGAGAGCAGTAAGACGTAAAATAAGGAGGAGCGTTGGGAAGTTGGGAGAACAGGGCAAATCAGATAGGACCTCTGGAAGACTGGCTTCTACTCTAAGTGAAAAGAGAAGTCAGTGAAGGGTTCCCAACAGGAAAGAGATATATTCAAACTTGTCTTTTCAAATGATAACTAGGAGGATAAAGATGCATACAAGAGAGACAGCAGATGGTGTGGTGGTTAAAGCAGTTGGATCCCACATGGTTGATTGTGTAGTTTATGTCCTAGATCCACTGGTTTCAAAGACATGTTGAGAATAAAAACAATTCTGAGCGAAAATAGAGGAGAAAGGTCTGTGACATGGCCATCCTCCCAGAGGGGATGATTTCTTCTTTTTTTTGGAGAGGTTTTTGCTATAGGGCATGTGCACTTGCCAGAAAGACAGAGAGATAGAAAGCGAGAAATTGCCCCCCAGGGGGGATGGCCACACCGCAATTCCTTCTCTATTCTCTTCTTGCGATTTTGGGCATGCACGCGCACACGCTTGGTATGACTTTAAGTCACTGAGTCCGAGACTCAAACCGCAGTTGACTAAATGGGGGTCCAGCAACATAACCATTATACCAACTGCTGGTCCTGATTTCTTACTTCCTTCTTTCTCACTCTGCCTCTGTCTGTCTCTAGCAAGTGCATATGCCCTAGAGCAAGAATTTTTAGAAACAAGAAGGGGAAAAATAATTGTGGAATTTGAGCAGGATAGTATCTGTATAAAAGGTGAGAAATAATTGAATTTTAAATACATGCTTAAAATAAAACTAATTTGTTACTGAATTAGATAATAGATGGGAAAGGAAAATAGGAATCAAAGACAACTCCAAGTCATTTAGTCTGCCAATTGGAAAAGTGACATTTCCATGGACTGAAATGGAGAAAACTGCAAGAAAGTAGTTTTGGAATAACAAGATAAGAAATTTGATTTGGAAAACATTAGACCAGCATTCTGTGCTGTCCAAATTAGCAGTAATTAACTACGTGTCAGTATTTAAATTAGCATTTTAATTGATTTTTGGGTTGTTGGAAAAGTCATGATGCATTTTTTGCATGGAAAAACAGAAAAATACATCATGACTTTTTTGATGACCCAATAAAATTAAATTGGAAATTCAGTTGCTTTCACCTCATCTCAGGTTCTCACTGCCCACCCAGGCATGGCCAGCTGTTGCTGTTGTGTACAGAGCAGATGTTACAGACCATCTTCATCACAGAAAGTCCCCTTGGGCAGTGCTGATAGGGCATGAAGTTTTCACTGTGTATATTCTGGGTCCTGGGCTAAGGGCTTCATATACATAGGTAAGTTAATGCTTAAAACAACTCTTATGAGTCAGGCAGTATCTTAACCTATTTTAAAGAACATAACTAAGGTGAAAAGAAATGAAGTAACTTGCCCTAAGTTATACAATTATTAAAGGGTAGAATGCTAAAATTGGATTCTAGGGCCTTCTGATTCCACAGCTCAAGCATTTACATTATCACACTGTATTTTAGAAAGATTAATCTAGTTTGAAATGAGACATGACATCCACAGAGGAATGTCTATTATGTTATTGGGGGACAAAAGCATTGAAACAGTTTTTAAAAATCAGATCTAATGGACCTTGGGTAAGAGGGAGTCCCCCAAAATACCTTGTGAGTGTAAAACTAAGCATAATGTATTCTAGCATATAAAACTAGTCAATGAAGGCATGGTTTAGGAATTTCAATGAGGGATCAGTTATTGAAGCCTTCCTTAGCAGAAAGAAGAGCTTATTTAACACCAGGTAGTAAGAGTATCCCAACCTGAGACACTCTTTGTTTTACTCTGTGTTTGGTTCTCAACTAGGTATGGTAGCTTGCCCTTTGAGAACATCTGGAAATGCGCAGAATGTTTGAAATAGACTGAGTGCCATGGGCATTTTGTGGCCATGATCTT